CTTTAGATTCCTTGTCCTCCTAAGCAATGGAGTGGGCTTTGTTCCGTTTTGTATTCTGACAGCCACAGCCTGAACCAGTTGCAGTTTTGGGGAGCTCTTCAAAGACTGCTACTGTACTGGCCAAGTTGATGTCCTCTAGGCGCCGTCAACCACAACTCCCAGCATTCCGAACCTTGCTGACTGAGGCTGATGGGAACTGAAGTCCAAAACATATGGTGGGCACCAACTTGGGGAAGACTGCAGTCATCTAGTATGGATGCCCCTATAAGGGTGCATTACCTTGAGGAGGTTTATGGGTTGTTGCTCTTTTTCTCCAGAGTACTTCCTATTAATGGGCACATGGGGGCGCAAGAGGGCAGCAACAGGTGCTCACCTCTCTGACAACCCTGCTCCAAGGTAGGATGATTACCTTTTATTAATAAGATTGTGTCCCCTTGTTTTCTAACTGCTATGAACAAAAGGTCACAGCAAAATGGGAGGAAAAATGAGGAGAAAAGGAGCAATAGTAAAGCAGAGCATAAACTGCTTGAGGAAAAGAGGTACTGCACTTCCTAGCTTATCTGGGCCTTTCAATGGAGAAGCCATGTGGGAGCAATTAGCTGCTCTCCTGTGGCAAAATAATGAAAAATTTCAAAATGAACCCTTGTATCTATATACTGTACTAATTTGCTGTGACAGTTGCATGAGGTTTGTTTTGGTTGGATTCCTGACCAAAAACTGTCAGAGATCCTAATTACGTCAAAGAAAACCTTTTCCACTTTGATGCCACCTATTTCCTGTGTGATTCATCTCCTGGGTGAGGTGTAGGTAGGTCCTGAGTTAAAACTCAGCAATGCCTAAAAGAAGAGGTGGGGCAGGCCCAGTAAGTGGAGCAGAATTCTCCTCTTTGGTTCACTTGGGCACGACACTGATTAGACCTGCTTTAAAAGCAAGTTCTACCTGAAAGCTTCTCCAATCTTGGAGGAGATCCTGAGCAGTTAATAATTCTGGATGCAAGGCCAGCTGAACTGGCTTCCTGTTTTCCTTCCCTGACTAATAACAGTTCAGGGCTGGGACACTTTGGTTAGTGCTGGCCACTCTTGTGCCGTGATCTAAACTGAGGCTTAATTTAAGGCATGGCTGGGAGGTTGAGGGACCAAAACTTCAGAATCATATGATATGCGATTCTCCCTCAGCCCTCGGTGGGCAACATGTGGCCTTCCAGACTGTGTTGACTGCAACTCCCATCAGACCTTCACCATCAACTATGCTGGCAGGACTGATGGGAGTTGTAGTCCAACAACATCTGAGGGTTCTGTGTTTCCTGTGCCAACTTACGACACTCCCCTGCTTGGGTCGTGCTGATCTGTGCTCCCTGATTGCATTGTGTGGGGATTACGCATCCCCTTCATTGTGCCCACCTTTCAGAGCAGCACGTTGGGAGCCAGTCACAGGGCTGTGCTTCAGGTTTAGTTACAGGGCAGCAGATTCCTGGAAGCCAATGGGAAGCCGGCCCTGCAATTGCTAGGCACCTGCAAGTGCTGAGGATTTCCCTTCTAGAAAAGTGGGCATGAGGACTACAAAGTGTACGAATATTTCTGGACTGGATGGCTTAACTGTTCCATTTTGAAATCCCTGGCTGTGTGATCTTGAAGCATGAGGGCAGTGCAGCCGGCAAAGCAACAGCGTGGAGAGCTGGGCACCCAGCTGCCTGGCGCACCTTTCCCGCCACAGGTCTGGGGTCTCTGGTCCTTCCTTCCCCAGGGCTGCCCTGTGCAGCAACGCAGCGTTGGTCCAGTGAAAGCTCTTTCCGACTGCAACTGGCCAGCGAGCTTCCACGAACTCCCCTTCTGACACGCCTCTGATCTCATTTCCTCCCTCTCCTCTCCTGACTGTGTCCATTGTTCGGGGCGCCCACTCCTGAATCTCTGCCATCCTCTCCCTCTGTCTCATGTGCTGTGGCGAAATGACCTCTGCCATGGTGGTACTTCCCATGCGCTGCTCTCCCGCCACAAATCCTGCGATGCCACTGCCATGACGTGCAGTTGTGTATCTCTGCCAGGATGCTGCGGCTCCGATGGGCCATGGGTGCAGGGGGGAGCTAGAGACCTTCCTCCTGCTCCCAGTCTGTATGCTATGGGGGGAAAGTGCCTGGTGCTGTAGCAATATGCTGGTGTTTGGCTTTCTGAGTCCTGATGATGATCCCAAGAAGGAAGTTGATTCCATATGAATTGCAGGGCTTTACAGTGGAGTTCCTTGAACTTATGCTCAGTTGCCCTTGCATCTCTCTTAGTTTTAGCCTGAGATATTCAAGGAGGGGCACTGGTGCCTGATCAGGTGATCTGCCCTCTGCGTATGCCCAAGGGGCACCCAACCTGTTGGAGGGCAAAGTCCGAGCACAGCACACAGGTCAGCAGCTGCTGAACCCTTTCCCATACCAAGTTCTTGGAATGAGTGAGTTTGCCAGGTTGTGTGAAGGCTGACATTAAGAGTCTTCTGTACATTTGCAAGTAGGCAGAGCTGCTGCTGTGGAGCAAGTACCTTTCAGTGGCTCAGTCACTATTGTGTGTTCTTACTGTGCAAACCCTTCTCACGTCACCTCTAGCTTTGGGGAAGTACTGCCCAATTGCTGCTGCTTCTTAAACAGAAATACCCTTATTTTCCATTCTATAATCTGCTTTAATTTGCAAAACCTCCCTTCCCTATATTTTTAATCCACACAATAACATGCATTCTCTGGGCAGATTGCAAAAGCTAAAAGAATAAAATGAAAGTACTTTACAAGCTGTGATTTCAGCGAGTTTGTGACCTGCCTAAGATGTAAGGGGAGCCTTTTGACTAAACTGGGATTTGAATATGATTCTCTTGAACATAGCACTCCAGCCACTACAACTGGCAGATTTATGAAAGGGAAGGAGGAAAAAAGAGCATTTACTAACAAATAGGATTAGCTATTGCAGCTTGGGGTGAAGGCGCAGAAGAAAGACAGCCTAACTTCTGTGAGTGAAACCCTCATTAATCTCTTGGTGCGAATGGATTTAGGGTCCACATGTTTTGATTCTATACAATAAGGACTAGAATCCTAGCTTTGTTTGTTTGCTTTTAAAACCTACTGTGGACTTCCTGCTGACAGCTGCAACAAGAAGCTCCTTTGTGCATCCATCAGTGCAATCTTATTAATGTACATCCAAACAAATTAAATGGAACTTACAGTCAGGTATGCATATTTAAAAAGTTACAGACTGAGGGTAACCAAGAGGGTATGAACTTTTATCTCTGATAAAGGCACTGCTCACAGTTAGAGCACACGTAAAGTTGCCCACATCACCCACCAGACAACACTGTCTTCATTTCTGGTCTGACTTCTGTCCCACTGATGCATCTCCTATGATTTCAGTACATGCACAGTCACATTCTGTTTTATAGCTCTTTGTGACGTGATGACAAATCATCTCTGACTTATGGCGACCCTATGAATGAAGGCCTCCAAAATGCCCTATCCAGACAGCCCTGCTCAGCTCTTGTAAGCCGAAGCTTGTGGAGTCCATTCGTCTTGTATTTGGGCTTCCCTTTCTCCCCTTCCCTAGCAGGATCGTCTTCTCCAGGGAGCCTCGCCTTCCTGGGATGTGCCCACACTATGCCGGCCTCGATTTTGTCATGCTTACTTCTAGGGAAAGTTCTGGCTTGTTTTGGCCGAGGACCCACTTGTTCGCTTCTCTTTTGGTCCAGGGTGTCCACAAAGCTCTCCTCCAGGACCATGTTTTGGACACATCAATTTTCTTCCTGTCGTCTTTTTTTGCTGTTGGTTTTCACACCCATGCTTGTGACTGGTGTGCAGTGAAACATCCTTCCTCCTGATTATCATTTCCATTCCTTTCATTGCTGCCATTCCAAGTCTCGGTTTTCTTCAAATTTCTTGGCTACAGTCTCCCTCTGAGTTGATGACAACTATAGCTATTTTGCAGTTGTGCTGTCTCTCTTCCCCTGTAAGGCAGACCCATGCAATGTGGGTGTGAGAGTGATGGACTGGGGACCTGGGAGATTTGGGTTCCAGCCTCCACTCAGCCATGAAGTTCAGTGTGTGGCTTTGGGCCAGCCACTCATTCTCAGTCTAACCTACCTCATAGGGTTGTTGTTCTGGGGATAAAATAGAGTGCAGGAAGTAAACTGCCTTGAGTTCCTCTCAACTGCCTTGAGTTCCTCTCAAGAGGAAAAAAGGTGGGATATAAATACAATCTAATGATAGTTGTACGTTGACTCTACTTTATCTGTGGCATTAAACAAATGGGGAGGGAAGAGTAATATGCTTTTAAAATTTCTTTAAAGTCAGCTGGCCTTCCTTGAAGAACAGGATGGCACTGGTCCTCTGCAAGGGGAAAGGGGCTCCTCTTGGAATGTCTTTTTTAAAGCCAGAGGTGGAGGGTACCAGGTAAAGCAAGGGGTGCCTAGATCACATTGTGTGTGTGTGTAGGGGGGAGGATTAACCCTTAGCAAAATCAGGCCAGGGGATGAGCCTCATCTGTGGCTGCGGGTGTGTCCTTGCCTTGTTGGGGCTTTTGGTGGCCGGAGCTGCACACTTCTAGCAGCGACACCTGCCCGAGCAGCAGAACGCATCGTGTAAGCAAGGGCTGCGGGTGGGGGCAATCCATCGGTCTGTTATTTATTTGTAAAGGTCTTCCAGCCTAATCCGTGGATTACAGAGATGCACCGTATATATGCATTACTGTGTGCCTTTCATGCGTGTGAAAGTGAGTAGGGGGCGTGTGGGACGTCCTTGCTCGAGATGAGGAGGCAGAGAGGATCCGGGGGCAGCGCTGCTCCCGCCCCCCATCCCAAGCTCTCTCGGAAGAAACAAATCCCCGCTCTGTCCGGGAACTACTTTGGTATCGTTTGATTGGTCGAGGCTGCGCCCCGCTCTGGCCAATGAGGAGCGACTTCAGTTTCCCCTTGAATGAAGTGTGTGTAATTTGCGAGTTGTTGTGTGTAAGTGAAACTGATCAAAGCGCCACGGCTGGTGTTCTTGGCTGTAAGGGGAAACTTGCCACATTAGGACTGAAAGAGGCGGCGGCGGCGGCGGCCGATCAAGCAAAGACTCTGCAGAGAGAGATTGGCGGGCAGGAAACTTTTTAGCCACAATCAGGTGGCTTCTATCTATCAACCTCTTCTCCATCCCGAAGCAGAATGCTATAGCCTGAAAGACGCCGCCGCCGCCGCATGCCAGAGGAAAAGGAGGAAGGGGGAGAGAGGGAAAGCAGCTCACAGCAAGTAAAATAACAATTGAGACCTTTCAACAATGAAGAGTAACCAGCTCCGAAGGTTTTTGCCTTGGCTGGTTTGTCTCCTGTGGAGCCTGCAGTCTGCCGCTTCTCAAGCAGGTAACTGATCCAACCTGAAGTCTAAAGGTTTTTATCTGCGCCTCCTTGTTAGCAGCGGACTCGCGAGGAGAAACCGCCGCTTGCAATAACACAATCGAGTGTCTATTTAGCCCCAAACACAACCTTAAACGGCGGGCGTGTTTTCCAGGATGATACTCCGTTCTTTTCGCGTTGCCTTGAAAACGCAGCCCCAGCGCTGTCGGGCGGGCTTTCTCGTTTTTGCGCCGTGGGGAGGGGAACCGTGTGATAGTTTCGCACCGTGCGCGACGCCTGTGAACCTGCGCCGCCGCCGAGCGGCAAAACTTGTTTGTCTCCCCGGCTTTCTCGCTCTCCCCCTCCCCTCCCCCTTTAAAGGGCACGGGCCTCGCGGAGAGCGCTCGTTTTCGGAATTTGCACGGCTCGGAGGCGCGCGGTCCCGGCCCGCTGGTCGTGGGGCTTGGGAGGAAAGGCGCGTAGGCGCGGGTGTGCTCCAAACCGCAGAGGGAGGGCAGAAACTTAAAGGCAAACTTTATGGAATCTGTAAAATGTAGTTTCTCCTGCTTTGTCGCTTGAGCTTGGGAAGGGTTGGGTGTTGGCGTCGATTCTGCGGAGAATGTGTGGCGATTGTCAGGGTCCCTGCCCTGGCGAAGAGAGAGAATCGAGGATCAGGACAGGCGGTGTCTTCCGAAGCTTTGAGTTAATCCTCCGGACGGGTTTCCAAATGCGAAGCGCATGTGAAGCAATGGGAATACAGGAGCGTCTTTGAGCATGTGCAGAAAGCGTTTCTCTCAACTGAATAGCCGTAACTCACCCTCGCATTCCTGGGGTTTGGCGACCACGGGATGGAAAGGTGTGCTTCCCAGGTGACCTTGTGGAGCTCTTGGTTGCTTTGCACTGAAGAACATATCACTGCATTACACAATAGTCATAAAAACAAGTCGTGCACTTCACATGCTCCTTCCCTGAAATTTTATTCAGAACTACAAGTGTTCTCTTGCCTGAAGACTGCTCCATGTATGAAGTTTTGACAGAGTCCACTTACAAGTGTAAATGTGTACCCCAGCTATGAACTATGCCACTTAAAAGCATGTGTTTTCAACACTGTGCTACGTTTATATATTTATAAATTCATATTTATATTCTGCTTTTTTCCTGCAAGGAAGTTGAGGCAGCTTACATAACCCTCCTCCAGCTCTCTCTCTCTTAGTCACAACAACCCTGTGAAGTAGAGTAGGCGGAGAGTCAGTGACCAGCTCAAGTTGCAATGGTGTGCAGAGAGAGACCTAGCCCCCTTCTGCCTAAACTTGCATGGGATCGCCTTCTGTATGCTTCCTGGCCAAGCACAGACTTCAACTCAAATCCCCCCAGGCCCAGTCTAACAATATTCTGGCCACTATAAATATGAGTACCAGTGTGTGTCCTGTATGTGTATATAGGATTCACATGCCAGAAATGCAAAGAAGCCATAAACTCAGCCATGGGAGCTTTTCCTCCTTCCCAGATCTCCAGGTAAAGCAACAACAGGTCCCCCACACGCTGCCTGCCATGCAGCTCTTAACTGCATGGACATCCTGCTCTTGGGGCAGATGTGCAGGCAGGAACACTGGGATGTTCTGGAGATCACCACTACCCTTGGAAAGTTCGGGTATGAACTCAAGATCGGGTTTGTTTTTTTGGATTAGCTGAGTCAGCGTAACTCCTTTCTCAAGGGTTGCCTCTCCAGGACACATACCCAGGATGACTTAACCCTCTTCACTTGCCTCTTAATGCCCTTTAATAACCCCGTCCCATTGGTGGTTTAAGCAGTGGCAAATGGGTGGATTTCTCCACTCTTTCAGTGCTGCTTTATGAGTCAAATGAGGGATTATTATCCATTGTAGCTACTGTGACTAAGAAGGCATCCTGCATTCCTGGGCAGCTGTGCGGGTCTACAGGCCAGCTCTCCTCTGCATTCCCATTTCTAGGCCATGGGTCTAGCCATCTACATTTCTCCCAGTGTCCCCAGCACTGCATCACTCCAGTGCATTGTGGAAAATTGAAATGGCTGGGAGGCCTAGTGTTATGACTGATCTGGCACACTTGTACTGCTGGAACTCCTCAGTGGTTCAACCCAAGATTTAGCAGGGATTCTAGTCCTTATTGTGTGTGGGACTGAGTGCATAGCTTGCCACTTCTGCTTTCAGTTAAGAATCCTGGAACTGTAGGGACAAACAGATCACATAAGGTGCATACTCATCCTTTCAGCTTTTAATCAGTGCAGGAACAATTACCCATGGTTTGTTGTTGGGTTAACTCATTAACCCATAAGCATACACAACCAGCACACACTGCTCATGTGCTCTGCTCACTCCTGCAATATCTGGGTTAATCTGCCCCAGAATGGTGAGTGTTATGGCCAAACTGGGCCAGTGATCAACCTGTGCCACCAATGGAACAGGAAGGAGAGGCATCCGATGGCTCTTTGCTCAGGACCCCTTCGAACCTTGAACTGGACTAGATGACTAAATTAGGGAATGGTAGCTACTTCAGATTAATTAGAAGAGCATTAAGGTGTGAACTTGTATATGTGGCATTCCAGTCACTAATAAGGATTAGAGTCTTTATTCCACCCATTTTGAAAGAACAGTAAAAAAACAAAACCAACAGCACACATACCTCTCTTACCAGTGTAAGTAAATGCATAACTAAGGGTACAAACAAAAGACTTCTGTTGAAACATGCCTAGAATTCCCAGCATCCCCCAGCCATCCATCCTGGCTGCAGAATTCTGGGAGTAGGAGGACTTATTTGTGTCTAAGCATGCCTAGGATTGGGCTCTAAATGTAGCTAAATGTCATGGTGGACGGAGAATCCAAGAAGGTAGTCATGTTGAGCATTTGATTGTTATAAAATTCTGAACCAGTAAGTTATTGCCCAAATGATTTCAGATACTCCTCTGTTAGAAATGCTCAGCCTGTCTTTTTGATATATTAAGAGGTTCTCTCTCTCTCTCTCTCTCTCTCTCTCTCTCTCTCTCTCTCTCTGTGTGTGTGTGTGTGTGTGGGGGGGGGGAATTATGGAGAAGAGGCTCCTACCCTGATGAAATTCTTCTCATGGTTTGGGGTGAGGGGGTTGGCAAGACTTCTCGTAATGGTTCCTCTGCAGAAGGGGGGGGGGAGAAAGGGGAGGCCCCCACCCTGCAGGGGACTGCTTTGATTGGAGATAATCCTTCTGTATCTACAGGGGAAAATTCTTCTGATCAGAGGTATGGATAACATGAAGTAGCTCTAAACTTATGCTGGGGTACAAGAACATGTAAACATGAGGTCCTTATTCATTTCACTGACTGAGGTCTCGTTCAAATTTTCACACAAGTAAGGAACTGGATCTGAGAATAGTAACCAACATCATTTTGGCAAGAAGGTTCCAAGTGTGAAGATTAAGCACCATAAAGGGAGAGGAGGGTGTGATTTGCAAAGGGCTAAGTCCACCACCCTATCTTGTTTTGCGGTTTCTTAAGCCAACAGACCTGGAAAAAGAGACACATTCCTTTAAATCGATGCTGTTCAAGAGTTTAGCTTCTCATTAGGCTCTGGTACTGAGGAACTTTTCACATACTGTATTTCTCCCTCGGCCACCTGTTGTAAAGCAAACACAGTTATTTTGGAGGATGGGGGGCAGAAAGAGCCATGGGTGTTCTTTTGTCTTAGGCCACAGGCATAAAGGCACATGAAAGGAAGCACTGCCTGCCAGCTTTTTCCTCAGTTGCTTGAGCCCTAGTTATCAAACTCTATCTTCTAGTTGCTAATATAGTTGAGTCTCAAGCCCTGTGCAACATGCATCATCCTTATGGCATTCCCTTTACTCCAGTTTGCCTGGAAGACAAGTTTCCTTGATGTTTCCTAGGGAATGTTTGAGGCAGGAATGAGAAAATTGGGCAGAGGCCTGGATGAGGCCACCATATGTCTAGAACTGCCCCAAGAGCACATTTAGGCAAGCTGCAGTGTGGTGGTCCCCAAGGCAGACGGTGGCGAGAAGGGAAGCTTGAGACAGAGCAGAGCTTCCTTGGCCAAGATGGTCTTGTCCTGTGGTCATACCAGCCCTGCTGTATCAGGCCGAAGGCACATCTGATCCAGCAACCTGTTTCTTGTAGCAGCTAACCTGGGGCCTTTGGAAGTCCACAAGCAGGACAAGAAGGCCATATCCAAGCCCAGGTGCTGCCACCCCAACAAGTGGGACTCGGAGGTTTACTGCTTCTGGACCTGCAACTCGTACAGAGACCTCTTTCACAAAGGAATGCGTTTTATCTCATTCAGAAGCCATCTAAAGCAGTGCTCGTTCACCCTTGCGTGGTGTGGCAGAGAAGCCCATGCATTTGTTTGACTCCAAATCAGGGGTGGGCAACCTCCGGCCTATGAGCCAAATCTGGCCCTCTGCAGTTCCCCCTGGCTGCACCCCTATTCTACTGATCACCACTTCTTTGGTGGTTTTTCAATGCCTGCCTGCCTTTCCTAGACTGTGAAGTGCTTCTCTTCAAGGTGACTTAGTGGCAGTAAGCTCAAATAGGCAGAAGTGTTTTGTTCCACCTGCTGCTGTTACGCAGCCCCAAGAGCTTCACCAGAACTGGCTTTGGCCCTCAGACTGAAGGAGGTTCCTCATGCTTGACTTCCTAAGTGTGGGGTTAGGGTTAGGGGTTCACCCTTGCTGATCTCAAGCTGCCAGGTGCAGAAGCTTACAGTCATCCTCTGCAAACTGGAAAGAGCAGTGTGAGGCATCTGCAGCTTCACATCCTTGTACCCTCCATTTCTGCCATGCAGCCTCTTTTTGCCCAGCCAACTGGGGCATTTTGGAGAGGGGGGGGAAGGGAACACCCCCTTCTGCCCCCCTCGTTCCTGACTTTGCAGGGTAGCCAATGCTGTGCTTTTTGTTCTGGCTGTCCGGGGGGCTGGTGGTTCTTCAATTCCCTGCTCCACAGCCTCTGACATCAGATCAGGAATCTAAACCACCCTAAGCTCCCCCCTCCCCCCCCCAACCCTGTCTAG